TCTTGCAAGCGGTCGCTACCCGCGTCTCTCGTCGATGGCTTTTCTCCGGCTCATCGTCAGCAAGTATTATTATGACCGTCGAAAGAAAATTATATATACGAGTTAACGAACTATGCAGCAATTAGTTAAATCGCCGAATAATAATGACTATATACATATAGTTATCAGAGGAAAGGGAACCAGGTTAATCGTTTTTTGCCTATTTCTCTAAAAAAAAAACTTCATCTCGTTCAATGATTTTTAACGTTTAATTTACAACTATTTACAATAATTTATTTATCATCTTGGAAACGGTATGAAAAATGCAAAAAAAAGCGTTCTGCCGTTCGATGTACTTTTTGAACGTATATTGTGAATTAAAAATTTATTAAAAATTTTGACCTTAATTCGTTTAATCCAATATTATAATTTTGTCACTATCTGTTGTAAACTTTTATGTTTAACCTCCAGTGCAGTTAGTGCACAAATTTTTGAAAATGTTATTGTTGTACGTGCGTAATAAAATTATACTTTTCGTAAAAATATGCAGATATAGATTGGTCAAAAAATAAAAAAAATTTTGTGAACTTTATGTGAGATATTATTATCTAGTAACGAGCCATCATATTTCATGCATTACAATCGCTATTAAACCGCGATGCTTGAAGAATAAGATGGACGATGAAAGATTTGTAAGACAAAACAAAAAAAAATGTTATCGCTAAAGCAGAAAACTTCTTTCCTAGTACGCGTACAGTATGCTAATAGGATTTCGTCACATTTAAACAATTATTACAAAATAAAAAAGAACGAGTAGCCGCTAACATTAATAGAATTCTCTTTGGCGTTATTATGTAAACACTCGAGTAGCCTCTATTCTCGTTTCGAGGAACAAAGAGAAGCATGTAATATCCGTTAAATAAAAAAAAAGCATGCGATCATTGGAACCTTGGAAACTTATAGCGAATTTATCATTACAATAATATATTAATATATTGACATTGTTGAGAAAAAGAAATCTACATGTAAATATATAAGCATAAAGAGCATTTTTATAAATAAGTAGGTATTGTTATTTTAAGCGTGAAATTTCCTTCCCACTTTCCTTCCTACTTTTTCTCTCACAATTTTAAATATAAGAAAGATTTTTATATAATTTTAAGATAACTAAACGATGTATTTGTCCTTATTATGATCAAATTTAATACATTTCTTGAATTAGGCGAAATTTATGTTGAGATTAATGCGAGACGCGCGTTAACCTCAAGCAACCTCACCTTTATATTAATTTTTACAAATTGATCTATACAATAATTCATATTAAATTAATAAACATAAATCCCTAATAAAATATGTTTCAATTGTTGCAATTGGTCTTTTTGTGACGGAAGAAAATCTTTTAATTTCAAAACATTTTAATCACACTTTATACTTACATTACTTATTTGATATACATTTGTTTATTTACTTTGTAAATAACGACAAAAAACATTATTAATCATTTTTTCCTTCAAATTTTAATTTTTAATATGAATCAACGTACCTGAAAACCTTTTATGTACACCATACTAGATCAAGCACTTCTTAATTTCAAATTTTAAGTTCAGAATCAAAATTGACGTCAATAAAAAAATCTTCTCTTGTATGTGTCTTTTTAAATCTCTGCCCTCTCCATCTAGGACTGTTTATGAGGAAAAAGCTACCAATCATAAAACGTTAAAAAAAACACACGAGACGGTATTCATAGTCTGTTTATATATTAAAACTGACTTATAATATAATATCTTAAGATGCTAATGCAGTTATCGGATTGACTTTGACATTTTAAGACTTTCTTAAGACAGTTTTAAATGCAAGAATCGATTATGAATATAGGGCAATGCTTTCGCGTTGTGAAATTGATGCTGAATCTTCCCTTATTCATCCCTAAATCGTTAAAAAATTGCCATCTAACTATGCAACATATATTTTCGATTTATGCGCTATTTCCAATCAATTTTGATTTTTGCGCTGCAATCCTTAAGGGATTTCCATGTTGGCCCCCCGCTTAATCAAATAAATAAATAAATTATATAATAATACTCTATCTGCAAAAAAAGATTTTTGCGCTCATTTCGTTTAGCTAAAAAAAATTTTTTGTTGGGGGCTGAGTAGATTGTCAGTCAATCTTTCCTCCCTCCTCCCACATATTAATAACAACCAATTAGAAAATAAAATACAGGATTTATGCGCTATTTATGGTTTCATATTCACATACTTTCAATTTTTACGCTGCATTCCTTAAGCCACTTCCCTCTTGGAGCTTTCAATCCGGTCCAGTCGAAATGATCTTGGAGATTTCTAGTAAACATTTTGGCTATTAAAACATTTCATATGACATATTGCAGAACCTTTTCGGAATTGTTATTCATGAGATATGAAAGGTTGAAACATTTTGGGCGGAAAACCTCTAATACTACGTTTTATTAAAAATTGGGCTTTCATTTGGCTTGGTATTTTCGTCCGCCATATTGAATTAGTCATTTTTAATTTTTCTATTCTATATTGATTCAGCCATTTGAATTTTCAATTTTAAATTCGAATTTAGAATTAGAGGCTCTAAAAATCTAACGCTACATTTTACTGAAACCGAGCGACTTTTTAGCATTTCCGTCCGCTATTGATTCAGTTATTCTGAATTTTCATCAAATTTGGGTTCCTATTTTCAAAGAGTGATCCCAAAAATCGCCTGTTTTTTTAAATTCTCGATTTTAGAACTGCCAAATTTTACTTTATATTAAAACATTAATTACAGAGAAGTTTGAAATTGAAGTTACAATTACTATCAGAGGGGAATGTAAAAGAAAACGGATTTTCGCATAAACGTAATACTCCCTCTCTAGCTATGATAATAATTATTATCTCAATTTGAAACTTCTTTGTAATTGTAAAATATCATTTGGCACACCAAAAATTGACGGTCCAAAAAACGGGCAAAAATAACTTCTTTTTTGGGGTTATTCTTTTAAATTCGAATTCGGCATCAGCATCCCCGAAAATCCTTTAATACTACATTTCACTGAAATCGGAGGATTTTTAAAGCGATCCTGAAAACTTTTTAATACTGTATTTCGTTGAAATCTAAAGATTTTTAGCATTTCCGCCATTGGTTCAGCCATTAAATTTAAATTTTCAATTTTGGTTCAAAATCAGCGAATATTTAAGATAAAAGCTTTATCTTCAGAAAGATCGGTTAATGTAAAACTTGCTCGAAAATCTTTAATTTCACTAGAAATGAATTTAACAATCTCAATGAAAAGAGGCTTCAGGGCATGTAACACTACAATTTTAAGATAGAAAGATATAATTACTGTAATACAATAAAAATTTTTTTATAAATAAGAAAGAAAACGTTTCCACAAATAAATTTTTCCATCTAAATATTATGGATCTGTTTTATTTTGATTTCTTTTTATTTTCGAGATTTTTATTCTTAAGAATAAGAAAAAAATTAGAATTATAGAGAGAATCCGGAATAATTTTGTTTAGTGTCGAAAATTCCAAAATAAAAAGATATATTTCTGAAATATTATACAAGACTGCCCTAAAATGGCTTTCGCCAGTTTTCAATATCATTTTCCTAGTTATATACTATTTTCCTACGCAAATAGCATTTGCCTGAAAACTTTTTAGAAAAATGGGATAATTATTTAGAAGACGCAGAGTTGCACGACTTCTATAATTATACTGTTGCACATGGGTTCTGACTTTCTATGTGAAGCGACTTTTACCTCTTTTTTCGCCCTGTGCTTAGGGTGCTTGACTTTTCACACTGGTAAACATTACTTTGCGTAGAAAATCGCACATTTCTTGATAGGGAAGAGATAGAATAAATCTCATTTCGCATGGAAAGTCGAAACTCACGTGTACAATAGAACAGTACAATAGAATAGAACAACAGTACAATAGAAGTTGTACGACCCTGAAACAGAGGGATGATATATTTCCTAATTTCAATAGTCGTACACTTTAATGCTTAATATCTTGGTTTGTGGGACTAAGCACAACATTTTACTGCCAAATTTTTTCGTTTCATGCAAAAACGCGTCGAATGCATAATTTCATTGAAATTGAAGGTAATCGAGGAATGTTTTCTAAATAATTATCCTATTTTTTTAAAAAGCGTTCAGGCAAATTTGCCTAGGAAAATAGCATTTGAAGCGGACGAGAGTTATTTGAACAGGTAGCTAGATTTGCCTAGTCTAAAGCTATTTTTCTGAAATAATCAATTGTCTATGACATATATAACAAAATATATTTTTAAAATGTTAATTTTTACACTTTCGCTTTTTTGAGCAACAATCACAAAGCATATTTCGATTTATCATATAAAAATTTTTTTCTAACTTTTAATGTTCCTCTAGTTGATATGGTGATCCAGACCAATCAGAAAAGCCGGCGCATGTACATATTCTTCATGAAAAATTGAGTCGAAAATGTTAATAGCAAAATGTTGAGGTGTCAATAATTTTGGAGCGTTTGAAACTATCCAACCACGGCGTGTAAAGTTCGCACTGTCAGATAACTAAGTGTTTTGACGAATATCGCTAAATGTCAATGCTGAATATGTATTAAAAAGGTTCCGTAAAATCTCTATTAACGTCTACTGTATTCTTAAATTGAGCTCAATTTAATTGACGAGGAATAATTTCAATTGCAAATTCGATAAAACATCATTAAAGTGTGTATCTTTGAAATTTTCACGTTTTAAATAATAAACAAATTATCGAAATTAGATGATTGAGTATTATTATCGCGATATCAATAATAGCTGTTTACTCTCAACGAAGCGCTCTATTGGTCGACGTGTTATCGCTCGAGATTCTGAGGCTCAAAATTCTCAATAACAGAATAATGAAAAGCATTCACGCCAGTCAGTCACTCGATCTCGGAGTTAATTTGGCATTAAGTATCACTTAACTATCCATAATCGATATTCGAATTGAAATTGAATTCTTAACGTTTTCTTATGCCGATTTCGTCGACTTATTCGTGATCAAGAAGTCCGCGTTTTCGAGTGTACATGTTTTATTGCGTAAAATACATATATATATTCAACTCTTGTATCTTTAAACATTTCTTCAAAAAAGTTTCTGGAGTCATTTTCTTCGTATTTTCCTCAACTAGTGATCTTTAATCGTGAACGAAATAATAAGAAATTTTTCTGTATAATTTTAATCAAATAACAAAATTTGTCCTTTAAATTAATATAATCAAAAATACATTTCTTGAATTATATAAAATTATATAAAAAAAAAATTATATAATTATATAAAATTTATGTCAAGATATAATTAACTAAAAAAATACAATTGATTTCTTAAATTAGAGATACATAGATAAGAAATACGATGTAATTACTTTCATAAATAAATTTTTTTATATATTGCAAATCTATTTTATTCTAATCTTCTTTTATTTTCTATAACGTTTTTAATTTTCTATAATAATAAGAAAATTGTAGATTCCAAAATAACTTAGATATTGAATTGTCTCGACAATTCCAAAACAGTGAAATATATTTCTAAAACATTTTAATTTAATTGAATTCTAAATTTTAATTGGTATATTTTGTTCATGAAATGTCTTACGATAATGTTTATCTCATATAATAATGTTTGTTTGATAAGATGCTATTTATCTTTTTATTATATCTTTTATTAAAGAAATAGAACTACTTAAAATCTAAAAATTTAAATTAAAAATTAAAAAATAAAGTTGTTATTGTGTTACGATTAATTAATTATATGTCGCAATCAAAGTCAACTTCATTAATTCTTGTATTTGTACTATTTCTTTTTTTTTGTCTATCATAAATATTATCAATTATTCGGTCTTATATATACCAAAATACATAAAAAAATTACATTTTTGCAATAATTGTAGAACACATTTCAATTTGTCTAATAAATTTAATATATTTTCTAAGTTTTAATGCTTTTATCATTGACATATGCATATTTAATGTTTTTTACAAACAAAATCTGTCTTATCAACACTTGACGAGAAAATGTACATTTATAGGCCGCTGTTTAATTCTCTTTGCATCACTGCTCTTATAAGATATTAACTATCGCACTGACAACACAATGTCTGTAAGTATATGACATACACGATATTGCACAAATATAGACAAATAATCAAATAAATATTTAAACAAACACAATCTTCATTCTTTTATCATTGTACATTATATAATTGTAAAAAGTAAAAAAAACACGTATAGTTTTTTGAAAAATACAATCAACTGTGTAATTATTAAATTATAAAACTGTGTAATTATTAAATTATAAAAAGATCGATGATGCTGTTATCATGTAAAATTTCAAATTAAATTTTGAATAAAGCTAAAAAATCATACTATATTCTAAACAATATCTATATTGCTTTAAAAATACTAATCACTCTCTATTAAATTTCTATTAAAAATATCTCTATTAAAAATAATATCAATTACAAAAAAATAAAAGAAATTTTTAGTATACATATATATTAATTATAATTATTATTTTATGTATGTGTTTTTTGTGTCTTGCTGTTTTTCTGTAAAATTGATAGTATTTGAGTAAAAAATTATAGAAAATCAATATTCAACGATTTTTAGTAATTTTTTAGTAATTAATATCTCATTAACTATTGCGAAAATTGTAAAATGTGTGGTCAATATGTCTGACACATATTGACATAAAATGTTAAATAACTCGTAAACTATTAACTTTTTGATAACCGTACCTTAATACTTTTATGAATAAAATAATGAGATGAATCAGTTGGTAGAAAGAAAACAAACATACATATCTTTTTAAAGCAATTATGTGTTTTCTTTCCACCAACATTCATCTCATTATTTTATTCATAAAAGTATTAAGGTACGGTTATAAAAAAATTAATAGTTTACGAGTTATTTAACATTTTTTTTGTTAATTTGTGCCAGAATAAAGTGTAAAATATCTCTTAAACTATTGGTTTTTTTATATCACTATCTTTATACTTTTATAAGCAGAGTAATTAGAGGAAACATATTGTGTAAAAAAAATCATACAATTTCATTTAAAAAAGTGGAGGTGACCTGAATCATATCTATTGGGTTGTCCGGAAAGTTCGTGCCGATTTTGAAGGAAAATTGAAACGCAAAAGATTTAAATTTTAGTATACATTTATCAAATTATATAGATTAGTCGGTACGAACTTTCCGGACAATCCAATATTTGACGTCTCCACCTAAAAAAAACAACATGACCAAAATATATCTCCCTCGAAACCGTTTCACTTTCATTTGAAACATTTTTTTATATTATCAAAAATAATAGAAATATTTCAGATGGTCCATTTAAGTGGATCACGCGGTATACACGCACGCGCGCGCACGCACACATGCATACACACGCACACGCACACATATGCATACACACGCACACGCACGCACGCGCGTCTTATATAATATAATAAATAAATAATAATAGATTGAATATGTTAAAATTTCTAGTAAAATATTCTAAAATATCATATAAATATTTATTTCTAAAATACCATATAAATATTTAATTTTAAAATAAGAAATACATATTGTTATTTCCATAAACAAATTTTTTCGCATATTGTTTATCTCTTTATTCTGATCATCTTTTATTTTCAATTTTCCATAAGAAAAAATGAGAATTATAGAAAAATTTCAAAATAAAAAATAACTTATTTAAAATTAACTAACTAACTTATTAAAAAATAACTTAATTTCGGCAATTTCAGAATAGAGAGACTTACTATACTTTTTTTACTACTACGAAGTTATTGTTACTTCCAAAAGCAAAAAGAAAATTTATATTCCAGTTTCAAGATGTTATTGAGCTTTCTTTGTTAAATTGTTTATTGAACAAAAAAATAAAAGTTTATCCGAAAAGCTGTGATATAATTTCTTTACATGTATAGGATGCGTTCTGTTATTCATTGCGAATACTGAAAATCTATTTCACACATATATATATATATATATATAT